ACCGGGGGACCCAACCGGCCGGGACGCCAGCCGGACGAAGGCTGGGCTGCCGGGCGGCCCGGAGTTTAACACAGTCAAAACGGACATATTTTATTTTTTGAACGAAATTGAAAACTCATAAATTGGCCCGATTTAGGTCGATATTTTCAGCTCTTGAGGGTACAGCGTTCTGAAAACGCCCTACCCCTTGGATGTAAGCTAAGTCCGGATACATCCAGGGGCGTATGGCGTTTTCAGAACGCCGTACCCCCTGGACTCCAGCTAAGTCCAGATACATCCAAGGGGTCCAGCATTTCAAGGACGCCGGACCCTCAACAGCTTGAAATTTCCACCAAAATCGGGCCAATTTATGAGGTTTCAATTTCGTTCAAAAAATAAAATATGTCCGTTTTGATGAAATTGCTGTTACTCCGAGATTACGTCCACCGCAGCTTCCGTTACCTTTCTTGTTCTTTATTAGTTATATGACAGGTGCACGATGTGGACCTGAGAGGGAAGGTGGAAGTTAGGCAAGCTGACAGTCAATCCTCCACGACGCCGAAGTAATCAATGCTGGTCAGGGGTCCTTCGACCAGACGGAAGGAAGCGTGAGTGTGTGTCATGATCTAACATATTATTCCGACTTGCCGGTGGAATAGGAACCGGACTGATGCTCCCCAGAATGGAAATGGAGCCAGGGCCATAAGGACCTGTTTAAAAAAAAAAAGAAAAAGAAAAAAGAAATACTTCTGAAATAGCCACTTTCAAAGTTTCGCAGCAGAAACGTTGTACGGGGCCGAAAGATCTATTTTTGCAAGAAAAGTGGGACCCCGCCTGCAAATATGTTTGCCGTGAAACTACCAGGACCTCTAAAACTGCAATGAAAGATATATTTTTGCAACGAAACTTGGGCCCCGCCAATATTTTCGCTGTGAAACTACCGCGATGCGCTATTTTTGAAACTTACCCTTTTAGAAATCTCAGATTCCGCAACCAATAGAGATACCAAAGCCTCATCTAACACTCTCACCCCCAGAAGAAGAGGGAAGGGGAGGGAAAAACAACCTCTCTCCTTATGGAAGACACAGTGAAGGACTAAAACTCACGATACACATAAAAGAGCTCAGAGCAACCCCCAGGACTACTCCTTCCCCTCAAAAAACTAGCCGCCAACTGCCTCTGCCAAGAGGAGCCCCCTTCTCCTCATTGGCCCCAGTTCAGACAGCCCCCTAAATGGACACCCGTACTCCATCAACAACATACAATTCCCCCTAGAGCATGCCCCCGCAGAGCTGAAGTTCCCCCATCCCTCCGGCCCAACTCTTTCCAAGCGGAACAGCCCACTCGACCTCTCACTCTACTAAAAACAGCATCCCTCGTCCTCTATGGCCCAATCACTGATCTGACCCCAAAGATCAGCCTGGCCCCAGAAGAGGACAACCCTCAAGTCTGCCCCACCCCTTTCCAAGGATAATCCTTCCACCTTGTGTAAGGAAGGAGCTCCAACCCCGACGAAGAAAATACCGGTCGTCAACATGAGCTCACACTCCTGAAACACCCATGAAAACCCCTCGGCCCCTGAAAGTTGCGCTGGAAAACTCTAGAAGCACACCTAGGCAATCAATTCACAAACGTCAAGATCAAGATGTTGCTCAGAAGGTTAAACAGAAAAGGCATGCCGATTGAAATTTAAAATCAGAATCGGATCTATGATCATATACATGCTGATTAAAATTTGAGAACAATTATCAAATGATGGCAGTCATTTTGGTGCTGTAGCCCTGCCTCTGAAGTTTTCGGATGGACTCGATATCAATACTCAGGTTTGCCTGATTTGGCGTGACTTTTCTGCCAAGACTCTTGGGGATGTGCGGATAGTCAGATTGCAGGGGGGCAGGCTGTGTCTCCAGTGGTCGGCGCGTCAGGGAGAACACCGGGCAGCGGATAGTGACTCGGCGCTAGCAGAGGAGTAGTGTAGGCAGGCGGACAAGCAATGCTCCGGACTGGTCCTGTGGCCGGGAAGGCACTGCCCAGACCGGCAGTGGGGTCCACCCTGGGGTAGCCCAGGGGATCGTGTTGTCCGGCACGGGGACAGCCGCTAGTGGGACGTCCGGATATTCCGGGAGAGGAGGGGGGAAGACCAACTTCCGGTGAGAGGACCATGGGGATCTGGGGGAAAAGGGTGGCGGACCACTTACTGAGCTAAGATCGGGTGATGCCCCCCGATCATGTAATGTACTGTTATGTCATGGGACGCTGGACCCGGTTTCCAGCAGGTGATGCTCCCCACCAATAGACAGGAGCGGCCAGTGCTGCATGCTAGATGGGGGTGGTCGTATCACCACCTCTAGCAAGCCATGCCCGGCCTTTCGAAAAAAAAAAAAAAGAAGTTTGCCTGGGCAATGTACCGGCGGTTTAAAGTTTAAACCACAATTGCCCTGCCCAGCTATCTGTTAGAATGCACTCATTAACACAATGCCATGGAGAAAGGTGGGCTCCGCCTATGGGTTGAAAAAGGCCGGCAGCCCCTTTGCGGACCCTGACACTGCAACAGTTTGCTACTCCAAGGGCTGCTAGAACGATCGTGAGACACGCGTCCTGGCAGGATGTGTGCAGTTTAAGCGGGTAAAGAGACCAGATTCGTCAGTACGCTATTCCTTCTGACTCAGATGATGCCGTCCATCCCTTCTAACCGAACAATCGTGAAAATATCCAACTCGTCAGTACATTCTACTTTTGACTAAGACCTGTGTCGCACAGCATCCCTCAATCATTCACACGTACGAGTTCTACCACCATTCACACTTAATCCCAAACATATCTTTTCGTACGGACTCACACAACTCAATCGCATGCCCTTTCTTCCATGAATCAGCCGTCACACAATCTCAACATTCACGTAAAGAGTCTGATCATACATTCGATCATGCTGGACTCGACGATGTCACGAACGTGTGACTTGACTTGACAAAGTAAGAAGTAACTTGACAAAGTAAGAAGTAATAATCCTCCCGAAAGTTACAGATGATGGAGCATGAAGCGCAAAGTGAAGTACAGATGTCGTCATGAAGCTCTCTTGATACATGAAGCAGCGTCCTACGCCAGTATCCTGGCAAAACGCCCAACGTGTTTCTGCTGCTGCCAGTGCAGCGTCTTCAGGGGCTACTCTACTCTCGAACGGTGAGTTCTACTCCTTCCTTCTTACTTCTATATCGTTCCTACTCTAGATCCTTTCGTCAAAAAACGTCTCCCACTCATCTTTACTCTCGCGCTCATTCGAAAAAAAATCAAAAACCACTTTCCCGCTCGCTCCCTTGGTCACCTTGTCAGATTCTGTCTGCGGTCAGCGCTACACACCCGTATCACCTATCCATCTTGGTGCCACCTCTCCAAAATGCATCTGCCGTTTTCAGTCCGGCAGGTATTTCGTAAAACGGTCCCGCGCTGAGCCTTGTCACTTTCGGCGGTTTGGTTCGTATGTCCTCCTTTTTTGAAAAAATCCCCGGTTCCTTGGCGCGCCCATCCCCTTCACACAGAATCCTGACCCAGTCATCCCAGGCTCCGTCCTTGGCCTCTGAAAACAGTATCAGCCGTGAATCGAAAAAGTGCCCTGGAAATCCTCACCTCCACAATTCCATTTTTAGGCCTAACAGGGTCGGCCCAGGTTGCTACAACATCATGGTGTGGTTCCATACACGATGCAAGTACCCGGTTATTACCGCCTTCTTGGCCTGGATCGACGAATAGGCCACAAAATCCTGTAACCAAGGGCTGGTCACACCAGAGGTCGTGGGTTCAAATCCCGTTTTTCCCCGGCAGGTATGGCTGAGTGGCTGAAGGCATAGGTTTGTACCCGGAAAAAGATGCTCTGGAGGGTTAAACACGCCAGTATGTGGGAACCTCTTTGGCCCTGTAGGCTGGTCTGCCATGCCAGAGGTCATGGGTATGATGGGTTTAATCTGACCGGGACTGCCAACCTTTCTGGTCAACTCCTCACAAGCGGTTAACAGGGACCCCCACTGGTGAGAAGTCTGGCTTAAAAGGTGTAACACGTTTGTTATAATGACCCTGAAAAAACCCTGAAAATTTAGGGGTCTGTTAACCGCTTCTCTTTTGGTCTGGAAGGTCAGACCTGACCTTGACCCCATGTTAACTGCCGGGTACCGGTGGTTAAAGGGCATAATGATAATGCTAAATTGCTAATACTCCGCCATGGGTTCAGTGCACACTGCACACCCACGCTGAAACCTGCCATGGTAATCGCGGGGATCGTGTGAGGGGGGGTGTCAATGAAGAGGTAGATAGGCGGGACATAGCAAGAACTATGCAGATAGCATACAGGTGGGGATGGGACTATTAATACCAATGAGCTGTTCGGCTCAACGATGAATTGCAAGCATGATACAAAACTGAAATTTGAGACCATCGCATACGTCACAACTCAAGAATGAAGAATATCAAAGAAGAGAGAAAGAGAATTCAAAGTGGGGAGGACAGAAGAGGAAGAAGAAGAAGAAGAAGGAGGAGGAGGAGGAGGAGGAGAAGGAGGAGGAAGAGGAGGAGAAGGAGGCAAGAATTCTCTCAACGTGAACCGCGGCTGGTCTCGCCATCACCCAGTTGCCACCCTCATATCCCCTAAGTCTCCTTTTCGTTTTTCTCCAAACATCCACCCGTAAGTTCCCCCTTGATTGCAGACAGTGGTGGATATGTGTGGACGAGACTTGGCGCTTTTACCCCCCTAGTAATTTCTGAAATCACGCCATGGTGCTACCACCCACCACCATGTTCCCTTTCTTCTTCTTGTTCTTTTTTTCTTTTTTTCCCATTTGGGGAGAGGAGGTAGGTGTGTGTGTGGGGGGCGGGGGGGGAAGGGGGATGCACGGAGTTCCTTCCTACATGCAAAACAGAAGGAAAAAAGGGTAGTGTGGATTCGAACTTGCCTGGATGCAAGGGCAACATTTGCAAGAGCAATCAATGCGCTAGCGCATGGTGGGGGAATATGGTGGACCACCTCTCTTTGCTCTGAGAACCTATTTGTTCAATCATTTCACAGAAAAACATGCACACATATACGTATTGCAAAAGGTTTAAGAAAAAAATCCACAATGCAAACAACCATCGGACTCATTCAGAAATCTCCTTAAGACCATGGTTGCATCCCTGCCGACCGCCGACCCCGACCGCCGACCGTATTGCAGAGGACCAGTAGGGCCGACCGGTCGGCGGTCTGCCGACCAGTCAGAAAACAACCATCCACTATTTTTTTTTCAGATCTGAGTTGGAAGCTGTACTGCGCTTGCTGAGTACAGCCCAAATCCGCTGAGAAACTTTTGGGGATGGGGGGGTTGGGGCTGGGGTGTATAGGGGGATATAGGGGGGTATATAGGGCATATAGGGGGAATTGGGGGGGGGTATGGGGGTGTTGGGGGCCGGTTTGTGGGTGTTGGGGGGGTGTATGGGGGTATTTGGGGTGGGTATGGGGGTGTTCGTGGGGTTATTAGGGGTTCTGGACCCCAATTTATTTATTTATTTATTTTTTTGCGGGGTGCCGATGACCCCCGACCGGTAGGTGCCGACCAGCCGACCGGTCGGCGTGTCGGCAGCCGACCAGTCAGGGGTCGCCGACGGTCGGCGTGTGCAACACTGCTTAAGACTGAAAATAGATATGCGACCTAGGAGTAAAAACAATTGGGGGCTCTGCTCCTCCCATCATCATCATCATCATCATCATCATCATCATCATCATCATCATCATCATCATCATCGCTTTCATTTCTCACCATTGTCATTGTTTTTGCCATCGCCACAATCATCGTCATCATCGTCATCATCGCCATCATTGTCATCATCATCATCATCATCACCATCATCAATCATCAATCATCATCATCATCATCATCATCATCATCATCAAGCTTCTCTGCTTCTCCTTGTCATTCATATCATAATCATCATCATCAATATTCATTATCCAACTCCTCCTCCTCCTCCTCCTCCTCATCATCATCATCATCATTATCATCTTCATCATCGGCATTTTCATCTTGTCATTACGCTGTCATCCTTTGTGTTCCCAATCTGTCAAACTGCTCTGTTCTTCTCTTTCTGTTTGGTATCGGTAGCTGGCTGGTGATGCATCCCGGTACCTTGTCTCGACACGCCGGTTGACTGGCACACAGAAGGAAAAAGCTGACGCCGCCTGGCAAGAGGGTCTGTGATGGTTTGGTTGTTTACACCACCAGTACACCCGAGCCTGGTGGACTTGCACTGCATGCCAAGCTTTGCCGAACTGCGAGCGGCGCACTTCTTTTCCTTTTGGGCTGGCACCACCAGCCATCGTGGTCCAGTAGCCCTGAGCCGCTGAAATTTTATGGGTGAGCCATGAAACTACTGAAGTTGGCTGGGGCCGTGTACTGGCAGGGCCAGGCAGCACAGCGCACTGGAAACCAGAAAAGATTGTACATGCCCGACAGAAGAAACAACTGCGTGTGAGTCAGATTTTTAGTTTCAAATGTCCATAAAAAAATGCGTACTGGCAGTTATGTCACGGCCCGAGTTTGAAATGCGGGCAAAAAAAGCAAAAAATGGCTGTAATTGAAGTAATTTTCTTTTTCGCCGCTTCTGAAGTCAGGCCATCTGCACAGCATGGCCCCCCCCTGTAGTTATGACATCCACGCTTATTACAAAGTGCCGCACCTCTTTTATAGCTCCCTGGCTCATGGGGCAGAGGCCACCAGACATCCCCCCGCCCTAGTAGCCATCTTGGCTTATAACCAAAAGTAGTTCTTTCTTTCTTTCTTTCTTCCTTTCTTTCTTTCTTTCTTTCTTTCTTTCTTTCTTTCTTTCTTTCTTTCTTTCTTTGTAAACCAAGAATAGTTCAGAGGTAGCCAAGCCTCGCATTTGATGCACGCATCACACATCAGATAGATTGCAAGGATTCACTATCATCTTCACCCGAGGAGAACGCCCGGTCGTTATAACTGTACATAGACTAAAAGGTGTCCCAAATACAACTATTAGGACCATGCATTCTATTCAGGTGAAGATGGTTGTTTGCAGAAAGTTTTGGGCGAGAAATACAGCGAGCACAGATGTCGCAGAGTCAAGTGAGGAAGGTGACATGCTCTGAGATAATGAGGTGATGGTCCAAGGTGATTAACACGGAGGTAGGATAGTAGGAATACGGGGGTGTGCTGGGAGAATTGATGAGAGGATGGGTTGGGAGGATGTCTCACAAATAGAACAATTGTCAGGACAACCAATGCCTGGCTGATGCAGCGGTCACCGTGTATCTGGAACCGGTGTCGAGCGCATCGGTCCCACAGGGGGACCCTCCAGGCCGCGTCATGCAGGATTTGTGGCAGGACTTTCATCCTTAATTGTGGTGCAAATGGAGCTTTCGTCGCCGCTCCGGCCGAGTGCGCCAGCCATACCTCTCGCGAACCCCTACGACAGGATAGGGCCACACGAGGTACATCTTACCTCCACCTGCGGTAGCTATCACCATCCCTTAGGTGGGCGTACCCCCTATGCTACAGCGTACGAGAAACGCCCTCGGCTGGGCCACCAACCGAGGTTGAAAAGGCACAGGTGTGGGTTGGATGGCCAAAGCTACATGGAGCGGGGTGTCCAAATGCCCGGCCCTTCAAAAATAATAATAACAATAAACCAAGCTCATGTGACTGAGCTCGTAACCGCTCCCGAACCGAGTGCAATTCTAGTGCGAGATGGATGAATCTGACAACAATTGTGTCCAGAGCTTTGCCAAAGACATCCTAGTGTGAGTATGTGCCCTAAGATCTTCTTTTGCAAGGGATTGGAGTTCCTCACACCAAGACCTTGTTTTCTGATTCATGGACGTGACTGCTGTCAGAAACATCCAGGTCGTCAGATACATTCAGACAGAGCCAGTGTGAGCACGCCCTAAGGGCCTCACTCCACTACTCACCATATGCACAAAAGACAAAAAACATGGTGGCAAAAAAAAAGAAAAGAAGGGCGATGTATCTTTCCACGTTCCAGCGGAAGATTCGTTCTCTCTCTTTTCGTTCTTTTTAAGAAACAACCCTTGTGGATGCTAAAGATAGGCTGTTGGACCCCCCAAGCGACATTGGGCAGAGACTGCTGATGTTTGTAAGGGGAGGGGACCGGAGGGGAGGCACAGCGACTGGCCCATTGAAGAAGCTCGGTCATGATGCCACTGGCTGACCCCGGGGCGGTATCGCCCACCTGCTAAAGCAGGTATCGCACCTGCTGGTGGGTGCAGCTCCCGGATGTTCCCCCCGCATGTTCCCTGGTTGAACACGGTTGTGGCTGCTACGGGGCTCCCCATAATACTATAATGATAATAAAAAAAAGGCCTGGAAGGCCATCCTGTCCAGATTTGACAGGCAATTGAATTGGTTGGGCTTGAAAGAATTAGCCTTATAAAAACATAAAAATTGATAAAATAGTAAAATACTTGTATTCCAACATCCGGGCGGAAACTGACACGAACGTGTGGAAACCAAAAACCGTGAGCAGAATGGGACTGTCGGCTAGATTCGAGCTCTTCCCCAAAACCAAATGGCAGAGCAGAGGGCTGTCGCGAAGCAGAAATGAGATACGGAACCACAAAACTGGGAGGGCTGTCGCGAAGCAGAAATGAGACACAAAACGACAAAACCAGGGATACGAGAGAAAAAAAACCTGCACCACGAGGGGCTCGAGATTCGAGCTGCTCACCTCTGCACTGGCAAAGTAAAACAAAACAAAAAAAACAAACTCATTCACAACGCGATGGGAATGACCAGCAAGGGAAAACGGGACAGCGTGGGACACCTTGGGCCCAACAGCGAGCGTCTTACGAGACCCGCTCCACAATTTAAGAGTATAGAGGTAGATAGTAGATTTTTCTGCTACTTTGGGCTACCGTCTTCACCTGAATAGAATGCATGGTCTTAATAGCTGTATCTGGGACACCTTTTAGTCTATGTACAGCTATAATGACCAGGCGTTCTCTTCGGGTGAAGATGGTAGTACATCGTCGCAATCTGATGTGATGAGTGCATCAAATGAAAGACCTGGCTACCTCTGAACTATTCTTGGTCCACAAAAAAAAAGGGAAAAAAAAGAAAGAAAGAACTACTTTTGGTGGTAAGCCAAGATGGCTACTGGGGCGGGGGGGATGTCTGGAGGCCTCTGCCCCATGAGCCAGGGAGTCTGATGCCATAAAGTTCTGATGAGAGCATTGCTATGGTCTTCCCCCAAACAACGCAACCTGATCGTGAATGTATACAAGCCATCTTTCTACTACGATACAGTCATGATGAGTAGGGAAAACGGCAGTTTGTTCCTGAGTCCCTAGCTGGTGAAGAACCTCTCCTCTCCCTCCCCTTCTTACACTCCTTCCTTCTCCCCTCCCCTTCTCCTCCTTAAACGGCTTC